TTCAAAAAATTTAAGTTTAAAAAGTTATAATAACACTCACCATACAAATCCAGTGCATCAAACCCCATCATCGAAGGACGTATAGTCCACAGTGAATGCACCATTTTTTCCTTCTATCTACAAGACTGCAGTTCAGCTAAAGAAAAGATTTGGGGTGGAAATCATTGACTTAGGGTTCGAATGTCAATGGAAATTGAACGAGGAAGAAGTTGGAGTGTCTGATGTTTTTCGGCATCGTTAAATGCGTGGTAATAGATGAGAATTCCCCACATAAATGAAAGGACAAAAATACCCTCACGTGCATGGCACGTGGGGAAGAAAACGGAATGCCTCTAACGGCAGTTAGAAGCAGGGACCAAATCCACAGCTCAAACATCAAATAAGGATGTTTTTTGCTAGCAAACTTTTTTTTGGACCTACCCATAGAAATCGGCAAACCACATGGACCATTTTTGCAATTTTGTCGAAAATTTTAGAAGGTTTGTGAAATTCGTTCAGACCAAAAGAAAAATAAAGAATAAAATCAAAGTGGATTGACCATGTTGCTCCGGTCTAACCCCGACTAAACCTAACGGGCTAGCTTAAAAAATAAATTTCAAAAAGGAAAAGACATTTATATTTGTATTTTCCAAAATTAAACTACTATGAATTTGCATTTCACAATTTACCTTAAGAATATACCGGTCTGAATTAATATGAATTTGAACCAAACAGTTTTAACCAAGGTTCTAAAAAGTTCGTCATGGCTCCGCCATGGCACGCCCCGACTCCAAGGCTTGCACCTGCCGCCAAACTTTGCCAAAACGCCGCCTTAACTCATATATTTGTATAAAAATGAATAATAGTTGAAAATACATATAAAAATATTAATTATATAGAAAATTGTCGCCTTAAGTCACGCCTTACAAACGCCGTGACTCGCCAAGACTCAGAAAAAATTGAAGCTTAACATTGCCGCCAAGTTACCTTTATGTAGAACCTTAGTTTTAACCTGTAAACACGAATACTTTTCTAATATTAAAATTGCTTGGATCACATGCTTGAATATTATACTGTGAACAATCGTCGTCAAGATCGGCTAATGATGATTATTTGGTATAAATAATTCATACTAAAGATAGACCCAGATTCTAATACCACATGTTTCAAACTTGGGTGGTCTAGCATCAAAAAATGAATAAAAATAATAAATAATAAACTGAAGAATAATGAAAGAAAATGGTAATTGAGAAATAGAAAAAGTACGAGGCCAGTGGCGGACTTAGGATGTGCGAGTGGTGCTGTTGTATGGAGCCTCTGAATTTATGAACAAATACATAGTTATTTCGTTATGGTGTTTGCATTTTCATAAAATGTTTTTTATGTGGTATTATTAAAAGAATTAGCAATGTCAGGTACCTATACAAACAATGTGATACTTGGTTACAATCCTGGAGTAATTTTAATTGAGCAAAAGTTGAACGAAAATCAAAATATCAAAATCTTATCATAAATTATATAATTTATCAACAATTTATGGAAAGTGTCTATATAAAAAAAATATACATATGTTTCAAATATAAGTTCTAGAAACGTTTTAATTGTTTAATTTTTTTAATAAAAATGACTAAAAAGATCAAACCCTAACAAACCTAATAACAATGTAGCAGATCATCAATGTTGTTGAACTTTCTCGTCAAAAACTATCATTTTGTTGTTTTGCATCGTGATATCTCTCACTGAGTTGTTGGTCTCCTCTTTGTCCTCTTCTAAGTCCTCTACCTTAGTCTTTGACTATATGTTAATATATGTTATATTTTTAAACTTCTCAAAAAGTCCTAACCGTACTTGGTAAATGCTAATTTTTATTTGGATGATTTATATGTGAATTCATAATAAAGTTAATGAATAATGAAGTAGAGAAAATCAAAAACAATATTCTTGGCATGACCGGTCCATTCGATTTTTATGCCTAGGGTGAGATGAGTTAATTATCCCCTATGTTGGAACCATTACAACATTATTCATAATAAAAGTTTTGTATTTAATATTTTACTACAAACAAAACACTTGCAAAAACCACTTAAAAACAATTTTTCAAATAATTATTCCATATATTTACACTTTAATCATTCACTTCAAACAAATGTTCTTAGCTTCCTATATAAGTATATTCAACAAAGACAACCATAGCGCTATTAATTATAACTATTTGCAACATAAGCCTCATTTTTTATTCTGACAGAGGTTTATCAAAATACATATTCACATTTACGCTTTTCAAATTTAATCAGTTTCAAACTTTGAAACATAATCCCCATTTTTTTTTACCAAAAATAACAATGTGCATTAGAAATGAGACCTACAATAGCATTGAACTTCTAAGTTTTTACTTTTCAATGTTTATTCTACCCCAAAACGGACCGTCTTTCAAGATTTAATGAGTTTCAAATTTGAAACTTTAATTCTTCATTCTATTTCCACTCTCTTTACCTATGAAATGACAAAAAAAATCCTTACAATAAGATATAAGAAGCTGAGAATAGGTAGTGGATAGAAAGTATTGCTTACAAAAAAAAAGAGCACATACATGCTATTCAAAAATCAAACCAGACAAAATCTTAACCCAAAATCGAAATAAGAAAAACTTACATGACCTTTGAGGCTCGACAATTTAACCCAGTAATTTGAAATTGTACACACAATTATTTCATAATCAAAAATTTAGATAGAAATATATATCTCTTGGATCAAATATATGAATTCTGATTAATAAGATAGAGAATCAAAATGTTAAAAAAAAAATGGATTATGGTCACAAAAACAATAAAATAAGCATAACCAACAAATTAGTTATCAATAAATCCGAACTCAGGTTAACCAAATCGAAAATCATACCTCTAAACGGCTGAAGTGTACACAAGTAAACAAAATTAGTCTTCACTTTTCAGAATTAGATATTCAAGTAAATATAAGAAATCTTCAAATCGGGATAAAGGGTGAGAGGGTATTTAGAAATCGATTAATTTGAGAAAGAAATTGATAGGAGAGATTCGACTCCTAGTATTCTACATCTTGATTCTCGATTCTTAGTCATGATGCTTCGTAGGTATTGAGTACAATCAAAACATTTCAATTATTGTGTTTTGCCTCCTTGCATTGATTGAATTTACCGCCTTACCGTCGAGAACCGATCGAATGGACAACTTTAGCAAAATTACTGGGCCATACCTATAACATACTTGACTAAAATGATGCCCTTATCTTTTTAATGCCTTGGGCTACTATCCAATTCGCCCATGTATTGGGTCGGCACTGATTCTTGGTTTGTCTTTTTGTGTAGTATCACCGTAATGAAGAATCAGTTGTGGAAGAACATAAAGAAGAAGAACTCGAATTATGCATGCTAGAAAATATGGATGAAATTCATGAAGTTGTGGAAGAATCTATAGAATAAGAAGTTGAACTGCAAGTGCTAGAAGATATGTCTTTTGTAGACCAAGACATAGCCACCTTGAATTAGCTATACAAACAATGCAATACTTGGTTACAATCCTGGAGTAATTTTAATTTTGCAAAAGTTGAACGAAAATCAAAATATCAAATTCTTATCATAAATTATATAATTTATCAACAATTTAAGGAAAATATCTATATAAAAAAAAATACACATATGTTTCTAATATAAGTTCTAGAAACGTTTTAGTTTTTTTTTTACAAAACTGACCAAAAAGATCAAAACCTAACAAACCTAATAACGATGTAGTAGATCGTCGGTGTTGTTCACCTCTCTAGCCGAAAACTATCATTTTGTTGTCTTGAATCGTGATATCTCTCGCTGAGTTTTTGGTCTCCTCTTTGTCCTCTTCTAAGTCCTCTACCTTAGTCTTTGACTATACATTAGTATATGTTATCTTTTTAAATTTCTCAAGAAGTCCTAACCGTACTTGGTAAATGCTAATTTTTATTTGAATAATTTATATGTGAATTCATAATGAAGTTAATGAATAATGAAGTAGAGAAAGTCAAAAACAATATTCTTGGTTTGTCTTTTTGTGTAGTATCACCGTAATTAAAAATCAGTTGTGGAAGAACATAAAGAACTCAAATTATGCATGCTAGAAAATATGGATGAAGTTCATAAAGCTGTGGAAGAATCTATGGAATAAGAAGTTGAACTACAAGTGGTAGAAGATATGTCTTGTGTAGACCAAGACATAACCACCTTGAATAGTAACGATGATGAGAAACGGTTGCAGAGATAGTACCCCCCCCCCCCCTCTTCCTTCAATCTCTCTTAATATATGTATTACACCTACTTTACATGATATAACCACCTTAACTACTAGAGATTAATTTCATTGAAAATACTAAAAGGTAATCCATAAAATAAAACATTGAGCATTTCTTTGGGATTGCTTGGAAGTTTTAGTTTTACCCGCTAGAACTCTAGCGTCTTTGATTATATTGTAAACTCTTTTATTTTAAAATTCTAACACCGCCTCAGATGATAAAGAAAATATTTCAGTGAATATCTATGATCTTAGACACTTGAACATTTAATGAGTGAAGACATAATGTTATGGTAGTAAATTTACAAAATGTTTGTTAGCAACTTCAAGTTTTGAATTTAACATTAACAAATTTATTTAATAATATTTTACAAGAAAAGTTTTATGGGCCTTACTTTGACTTTTACATAAAGCCTCCTAAATATCACCATAGGACCTATGAGGCTAGAATAAAAGCTTTTCTTTGAGGGAAAATGACTAATAATCCAACGAAATTTTCAAACCGTTTAAAAAACTTCAATTATATTGTTTGTTAATGAAAACTAACGAACTTAATATTTTGTCTAAAAAAAACCCAACTAAGTTACACTTTTGTTCAATTCTATGGAAGTCAAAGAAGAGAAACGGATGATGTGGCTTATTACCATATCGGAAAAATGACTTGTATGACCAACGAAGTTTTCAAACCGTTCAAAAAAACTAAACAAACTTACCCTTTTGATCAGACAAGATTGAGGTTTTTTGAACGGTTTGCAAACTTCGTTGAGCTTTTTTGTAAGGTTTTTTTAAACAGACAAAACATGATTTAGATTTTTTGAATGGTTTCGAAATTTCGTTGGATTTTTAAGTCTCCCTTTCTTTAACAAAGTAAGGGTCCAATCGAACAACTTTACTACACCATCCTATTTCAATGCACAAATCACTAATAGACAAACGGCAATATTATATATCGATTACAAGGGTAATGCTCAAATTTACGCCTGTACCATCCTTGTGTTTCCTTTGCTGTATAAACCAGATTTGCCACCTACAAGATAACAGATCCAGTGAAACCTTAATTGAACTTGTTGTTGGATTCCGGGATCAAAGCAAATTCAAAGGGAGCATAAAAACATACCACAAATGCAAAAAGCAACCACAATGATAGATCGACACCACCACTAGCCATCACAAGACCACCATAGATGACCTTCATCAACATCAATCGGTTATATATAAAGTTTTTCTGAAGCTCCTTTTTATGTTGAAAAAAGGATCAGATCATGAGAGACTTACAATTTCAGCCGTGTAGTGTGGAGATGACACGTATTCAAACCAATCGCCATACGGAATAACATACTCCTCCAGCTTTTTGGTTTTGTCTCGCAAGGAACCCTAATTATCACAAGGTTAAAACAACAAGAAGAAAGTCTACAACTTTTCTTCAAAATGGCAAAAACTTACAAGGATATGATGACAACGAAGCTGATGTACCCAACCCCAAAAGAAAATAGCAGCACCTATCCACGCATACCATGGAAGCCTCAAGAAAGGAGTCACAAACATCCATATATTATCAAATCCAGGCCTCGACATGTGACCCTTTCCCTTCACGAAATCAAACACTTGAGATGCAAAATTACAGCATAGAGACAGTGGAGCCATTACATAGAAACTGATTCAACAAAGATCACTTGATCAGAAAGAATATAAGCAATTAATGAACCTTGACAACCGAGAATAAGATAGTTGCTTAAAACTTACAAGAGGCCCAGAAGATAAGTAAAAATGTGCATTCGAGCTGAGGGACTGTAGTTGAAAACATAGAATGTCTCATACAAACGTCGTAAAAGATGGAGCTCCATTAGCACAAGGAGAAACACAGATAGCCAAACATTGTTTGCATGGGATTCTCCTCCAGCCACGTGGCTGGTTGTTGCATAAGACCACATTGCAACAAGCAAGAGTGTCGTCCATAGAATGGCCATCGTATAAAAGTGAGAGAAGAATCTTTGAGGAACAGTTAGTTTCTGAAATTAATGTACACAATCAAAAAAGGGGAATTCATTTTCATACCAATTACTATAAACACAAAAACATGGATCCATCACAAGGCTAGTCTTAATCAATTACTCACAGAGTTGGATTGCAAAATCTTGCCTCTGTTGCCAAGCATGAGAATTGTGTGAAGCCAAGCAAGCCCAGGGAATGGGACAAGGCCTACAACAATCGGCAAAGTAATAAGGATCCATGCTGCTTGTAGCAATGATACAAGCCTCATTCCCACCTCTTCTTCCATTCTTTAGACTCATAAACAAATTTCTTTTTATCGACAATTGCTTCACAATATTATAAATACTACATAAAAGATAGAGAAGAAGAAGGAGAGTATCATGGGAGATTTTATTGCCGCACCCTATTCATACATATCTTTGATTATTCTGATCCTACTATATAATTGATTCCATATCACATGCACGACCCCTATATATTTGACTTTTTGAGTTTATTATTTGTCTAATACTTTAATTGTATAAACTAATGTTACTCTTTAAATTTACAATACTTTAATTTTCCCCATCTTGATCCACCAAACCAAAAGAGCTGAAAAAGAAACGTGGCTTTTTGGCCAAAGCCCAGTCCAAACCAATTAAGAGTCCAAATCGAGTGTTGTATTTTTTTTTATTTTTTTTTATATCAATTACGTACTATTTTTTCCATGTATATGATTAGTTGTTTCTTTAACCAGATTGCAAAATAGAAGACAGAAACTAGAGGATAATCATAATATGTTATATGACACCTCTTTGAGCGAGATTAGAATCAAACAAAATTATTTTAAAAAGAATAGGAAAGCAGTTAACTTTAATTGGCAGCCATCCAGATATAACATGTGTAAAGTAAAGTACAACTCAAGGAAGGCTGATCAGCAAATCCCCATTTTTTTCATTTACGAAAATAATGTTAAATTGTTAATGTTTACACAAGCATCTCATCCTTCACTAATAAACAAAAGGGAAAATAATATATCGATTACGAGGATAATCATCAAATTTATGTCGATACCATCTTTGTGTTTCGGTTGCTGCAAAAACAAGATTCGCCACCTGCACAATAATAATAATAGATCCCGTGAATCTGATATATTTATTGTTGAAATTCAAGACCAAAAGGAACATAAAAACATACCACAAATGCAAAAAGTAACCACAAAGAAAGATCCCCACCACCACTAGCCACCACAAGACCACCATAGATCACCTTCATCATCAACATCAATCACCAATTAAGATTTTCAAAGAAAATTTACCTTTTGGTCTCAAAAAGTTTGCTTTTGTAATTTTAGTCCTTATGTTTTGTAACATTTTTGGTCCTTGTTCCAAATACACTCGACTATTTTCAAGACCAAAATTTAAAAAAAATAAAAAACATCAGCTCTAGCCAAGGACCAAAAATACTCATTTTACTTGGGAGAGGAAGCAAAAAATGTTACAAGAACCTCAAATAAGGACCAAAATTGCAAAAAGAAAACTTTCTAGGACCAAAATTGCAAAAAAGCAGCTTTAATCATAAAAGACTTACAATTTCAGCTGAATAATGTGGAGATGAGATGTATTCAAACCAATCACCATAAGGAATGACATAATCCTCAAGCTTTTCAGTTTTCTCTCGCAAGGAACCCTATTTAAATAAATAAATAAACATCTTAGTTTCTTCACCACAATGTTTTTTCACATTGACATCCGCATCAGTAAAAAAAAAATTGGTTTGTAGAGAAACGATGCATGTCAAACACAGTACAACTATATATATATATATATATATATATATATATATATATATATATATATATATATATATATATATATATATAAACTTACAAGAATTTCATGGCAACGAAGTTGATGTACCCAACCCCATAAGAAAATGGCTCCACCAATCCATGAATACCACCGAAGTGTCAAGAAAGGAGTGACAAAAATCCATATGTTAAATTCAGGCCTTGACATGCGATCTTTTCCTCTCACAATAAACTCAGCCACCAGATTCTTCACAAAATTAAACACTTCAGGAGCAAAAGTGCAACATAGAGAAAGTGGAGCTGCTGTATAGAAACTGATTTAACAATCATCACTTCAATCAACAAAGAATAACTTAATACAAGTGGTTTAAAGTTTAAACATCATTTATCTGTGAAACACTTAATGAAGCCATAAAATATTGGCTAATGCAAGACAAGAAATAGCAACCACTTTCAGAAAGAACACATAAAACGGACACAACATAGCAAGGAGAAGTGGAAATAAATAGTTGCAAACATAAAAAACTTACAATAAGCCAGCAAGATAACCAAAGATGTGCATGCGAGCTGATGGACTGTAGTTAAAAACATAGAATGTCTCATAGAAGCGTCGCAAAACTTGAGCTTCCATTAGCAAAAGGAGAAACACAGATAGCCAAACATTGTATACATGTTCTTTAGTTGACAAAGATTTATTCAAGGGGAAAGCATGTGAACCTCCAGTCAAGTGACTGGTTATGGTAGAAAAGAGGTCTTGCTCGATTAGTGATGGAAGCATCTTGATTGCATAAAACCACACTGCAATAAGCAAGAATGTTGTCCAGAAAATGGCCACCACATAGAAGTGAGAGAAGAATCTCTGAGGCACAGTTAGTTTCTGAAATGCACACAAAAACAAAAAGGTGAATCGATTTTGAAGATAATTATAATAAAAGATAAGACAGCATCACAAAGATAGTGTCACTTACAGAGTTCGATTGCAAAATCTTTCCTCTTTTAGCAAACCCTAACAGAGTTCTTCGAAACCAACCAAGCCCTGGCAATGGCAAACAAGCTACAAGAATCGGTAAAGTAGCAATGATCCATGCTGCTCGTAGCAGTGATACGAGCCCTAGCCCCAGCTCTTCCATTCTTTAGACGCAAAACAGATTGTTAGCATTGACTTAGATGAACAAATTACTTCCGAAATTGATAAATACTACTTGAAAAGAAGCACCACAGTGAAGTTTGAGACTTCAATTCGTATCATGAGTCTGCTTATTCCCGTGTGTACACGGAGACGTGAATTGAGAGTAATTCGAAGCGTGCAAGCTCGAGATTCAAGGAAGCGTGAAATTTATGTTACGAAAATTCTGGTATATTTACAACGCAGTAAAAGTTTGTGTTATTCTGAAAACAAATCGTGTGTATGACGTAAGGAAAAAAGAAAATAACGAACACAGCTTTTGAACACATTTGTGACCTCAATTCCGAAATCAAACGAGGAAAGAAAGATAAGTATAAAGGATCGAGAGATTACCTAAGAAACAGAATTTCTGACATTATTATTGCTGATCAGAAAGGTAGAACTTCATTCGATTTTTAGAAAGGAATGAAAAGCTGCTTCTTCTTCTTTACCACTAAACGAATCCCTAATCCGAAACCCGAAATCAAAATTCGTTTTCGGCTAATTAACTATAATCTTGATGATTAATAACTCAAACTAAAATCTAGACTGCTTAGGGATCAGGGATGTCTAATGCAAAAAAATATTGTTGTTTATCGAGGCCACAGAGGACGGTAGCCAGTGCCGCAACCACACTCCGCCAGAAACACGGCGTTCTCCACCGTTTCATGCAGTAGTAGCCGACTGATTCATTCCACAGATTGGGGAACCCCCTTTTCAAGTTTATACAGTTTCCTCTAGTTATGAAGTTCTACTACTTGACAAAACTAACCCATTATTTAAATTTCTGTACACATATACAGGTAAAGGGACTATGTTTGACATTTCTATATTCTTGCCTACTTAATTTTAAGAGGTTTCACAACTTATTCATGTTTTATGTTAAGTTTTGGGTTAAGGGGCTGTTTGGCAGGATCTGAATTTTTAAGATCTGAATTTTTAAGAGGTTTGAATTTCTAAGAGGGTCTGAATCTTTAAGATCTGAATTTTTAACATGTTGTTTGGCTGGAACCTCTGAATTGCTGTGCTGAATTATAATATGACCATTTTACCCTTCAGTGTAATTTTTTGTTGAATTCAAAGTTTATGTTTATAAAATAACCAAACCAATTTTTTACATAATTATAAAAAAAGTATAAACAGAATACAAAATCCAAATTAAATAAAAATCAAATCAAATATAAATATTTGACAAAAATCAAATCAAACAATGCTTTAATATAAAGAGGTGAAAGTATGATGTTATAATAAATAAATCAATAAAAGTAAAGCGCATTTTTAGTTTTTTTTTTTTTTTTTAATTTAACTTCGTTCATGGATTTGTTTTTTCTTGCACGCTTGTTCTATCCGGACATAAAACCATTATTTTGTCCTTAACGTTTTCTTTTTTAATTTTTTTATTCATGCAATATTTTTAGATTAAAAACAAAAGAAAACAAATATATTTTCATTCTCCCTCTCTCTTTTCTTTCCCCGGTCTACATTCCTTCTCCAACGAGACCAATTAGTTAGCTTCAACACCACCAGTCACATTCGTCTAAATAATAACTGAAATCCAACCCCACCAGTGACAAAGATCACATACCCACAAAGGACACCAACATCTTAAATCTAATCCAAATGAAGCCAACCCAAAAAAGCATTTCAAAAATCAAAATAAATAAATCAAACAACCTGAAACTCAAATGGTTTTGGGAATCGAAAATGGTGGTGGGTATGAGACAATCAAGTGGGGTAGGAGACAACAGTGATGACAAATAAAATCTTCTCCACAAAACCCTAGAATTATTTTGGAGGTGAAGTTGGTAGATAAGAGGCAATGACGATGGTTACTTGTAGGGGATGACATCAGTGGTTTGAAGGGGACGGCGAATGAAGGGGAAGACAACTACAACTACACCATCTTGCTATTCCTTCTCTCTTTACTATCCCATTTCTAACTGATTGCAAGATCAAGAAATACTGGAACACCCATAGAAGAAAGAATTGCTCCAAATGGGAATCAATCCCGTCACACACCATCCTTTCAAAACCCTAGATCTTAGGTAGTGTTTGGAGGAAGGGTGAAGAACAGATTTGCAAATTTTCGAACATGATGGAGAGAAACCGGGTGAAGAACATATCTAGTACCTTCTCCGGTGTGTGGGTTTTCTATTTCTTTGCTCCGATGGTGAAATTTGGTGTTGGTTCAGAGATATTTGACGGTGGTAGTGAATTCTGATAATGGTATCTAGAGAAAAAAGAGTGGTAGAGAGAAAGAGATAATCACATTATGAGTTTTAAATGGCTTGGCAGGTGAGAGCATATTTATTTTTCCTTTTCTTTTTTAAATTAAAAAAATATTAATAATAACATTAAATTAATTGGAAAAGAAATACACAAATGACATTACTAATACCATGAAGTTTTTAGCGAGATGACAAGACATTGATTTCTAAAGAATAAAAACTTATCGAGGATGCGGTGCTCGTGTAACGTCACCAAATCAATTAAAACATTTTTCTTCAAATCAATAAGTAACAATCATTGGTTTGAAAATCATAAAGTTAACAAAGTCAAATTACAAAACAGTATAAATCAATATCTTTGATGTGTGTCTACAGTATCACGAGCTCTTCTCACGAACAATCTACAAAGCATTTAGTTCACAACTGTAAGTATAAAGCTTAGTGAGATCCCTGATATACCACATATTCCACCATACATACAATGCATACAACATACATAACAACCATGTGTCATCTACCAACATTTTGCTATCGTCTCTCGGTCGCCATGCAATAATCGGCCTCTCGTTGCAACAATATCCATGTCAGGGCCAATAGTAATATTGATAACCACCTCATGAATACATAGTCATATAAAGTCGAGAGTTAGAAAGACAGTCAAACAGATGATCCCTTTCAAAAGCAATAAATCAAACAAGAACCATGCAATAAGGCTTTATGCCAAGAGTTCTCAGGCTACTAACTTAAAATACATACGACCCCTAGAGTATCCATTCAACGATCAACCAATACCATAATATGTTGTGCAACTACAATCTTTCATACTAGAGATGTGATCCAACCACAGTCTTTCATATAGGCTATGTGATCCGATCATAGATTTTCATACAAGTGATGAGATCCAACCATAGTCTTTCATACATAAGTCAAAAAGACAGTTTATCCTAACAAGACACTAAGTATATGATAGTTCACATACATAACAAGGAGTTATTCTTGTCAACTAGCATACTCGTACTTTAACAATACTTTACCCTATCAAACAAAGGATATATAGTGTCACACGTGTTATGGTGAGAAGACTCACATGAATCGCAAAATTAGAGAAACAAAGTCACACACTCAACTCCTTGCACTGATCAAACCTGTGAAATGACTATTAGAAAATAAAGGTCAAGCCGCATTTAACAATCCAAATCCTTTAAGTTTAACCTAAAGTCAAATTGATCAAAAGTCAATGGTCAACCAGGTTAACGGCCACCACAGTGTGGTGTATCCTTGGTTGCACCGTGGCGAAGTCCAGAAAAAAAATTTCCGTGTTGTAGTGCGCAACCAAGTTGCGGGCCTTCCTTGTCTGAGACATAGTTTCGGTCCAAAAATGTCTTTCTTCATTAAGAACTTAAATTTGTTAAGTCCACAACTCATATCTTCCATAAAGCTTCTTTGTACCTAAATGGTTCATAAAAAAATCCTAACATTATGGACATGCAAGCCCCATGCATGTGCTTCACCATTTTAGGTTAAAATAGCAAAATATGACCTTTAACTCATGCATGACAACAAAAAACCCTCAAGTTTTAGATCTACAAGATGAAACACTCTAGGGACATCAAAGGTAGATAAAGTTGCAAACTTTATTTGGAGTTATTCTATGAACTCCAACCAACATGAAAGGGACATACAAAACCATAAAATTCTAGATCTAGGAAGCTTAAGCCACAAAGTTGGGAACTTGAACACTTACAGAGGTCCAAGTGATGCACAAGGTGTTGATTGTTTCTAAAATACACACCCAAGCTCTAAGGGATGATGAACTTCCTTCAAAACACCCAAAATGACACACTTTGTTGGGTCTAAAATTATAGTTTAGACTTTGCTTTTCTAGGAAAATATATTTTTCAGTCTAGGACCGTAAACAGCTTGGTATTTACGGCTGTATGTATGTTTAAGGTTGTGTTTACGGCTGTAAACCCATTTACGATCCATATTCCCGAAGTGTATATATATATATATGTGTGTGTGTGTGTGTGTGTTAGGTGGGCGAGGAGTGGTTGATGAATAGAAGAGAGTGTACGGCCCAAAGAAAGAAGAGAAAAGAGAGGAGCATAAGTGTGTGTAAGTTGTGTGTGAATTTTGTATTTGGATCTACATTCTAATCAAATCATAAAAGATTCATTAGCTTCTTATTCTACTTCTTCTTCATTAGATCTGGCATCATCCGTTTGATTGAGATTTCACACCATCAAACGGATCTGATTGATACACAAGCAGATTTGGGACTTACAAATGGTATCAGAGCAAGGATTGTATCAATCATTTTTGCCAGATCTGGAGCATATTTGATCTTATTTTGAAAGATTTTTGTGTTTTTGGATAGATCTTGGCAAAATAAGGGCGGGTTTTTTCTTTGCATTTTTCCTAAAAATGAGTTTTGGAGCAAAAATCTGGCATCATCCGTTTTATTGGGATTACGCACCATCAAACGGATCTGATTGATACACAAGCAGATTTGGGACTTACAAGTGGTATCAGAGCAAGGATTGTATCAATCATTTTTGCTAGATCTGGAGCATATTTGATCTTATTTTAAAAGATTTTTGCGTTTTTGGATAGATCTTGGCAAAATAAGGGCGGGTTTTTTCTTTGCATTTTTCCTAAAAACGAGTTTTGGAGCAAAAAATAGAAGGGGATTTTAGGGGTGCCTGGATTCGAACCCAGATCCCCTCCCTCATCCTTCCCTCCACCTTACCAGCTCATCTAGTTTGATAGATGATTTAACCTTCCCGAATTTAATTCAAAACAACTCCCATTCGAACCTAATTTCGCATTTTTAACAAATTATGCCCAAAAATCAATTTCTTTTATTTTTAAATTTCATTTTCAACCCAAAAAATTTAGTTTTTAATTTTTTACTTTTATTTTTGACTTTTGATCTTAAAATTTGACTTTGACTACCAAGTTTGACCTTTGACTTTCTCGTTTAACTTTCAAAATTTCAAATTTAGCTTTTCGGTTTGACTTTTAAGTTTGACTTTTAAGGTTGACTTTTGAGGGTTTAAGTCAAATGGCATATTTTTAGAACAATGAGTTCCTCAAACATTCTGGTCAATGAATTTTCATGCTCTCAAACTTGCATTAAAACTATTAAAATTTTACATGAACACATCGATTTATTAAAAAAAGAAAATGAGGAACTTAAATATGAGGAGTACCAACTTAGGAAAGGCCTAAAACCATTAAAAGAACAATTAGAGGAAAAGAGTAATGACTTTAAGAAATTACAGTCAGAGTACAGTGAAAAATGCTTTCATTATAGATATCTTAAGAAAGATTTTGATGTTGTGACTGCCGAACTTGATGCATTAAAAGCAAAATATAAAGATGCGGAATTCAACTTTAAGAAATTTGATGTGTCAAGTGAGGTAGTTGCATCGATGATTGAAAAACACTTAACATTCAAAGATAAGCAAACTAAGGGGTTAGGGTATCACAGTGTACCACATCCCTTCAATGACAACTATAACCCACCCTT